AATGATCACTACCCAGAGCTAATTAATATGGGCAAATCAGAGCAGGATTATCAACGATTGTTTAGAGCTATTTATAAGGGTTGGGATGCTATAGGAGAAGAAGCTATAACCAATCTCATCAAGAGCATGGATAGTAGGGTGAATGCGGTCATTGCGGCCAAAGGATGGTACACCAGATTCTGAATATCAACTGCCTATTCGGGAAATTAGCCCAGCCTCAATCTCTGGATGTTTCTGAACATTTTGAGCTATTTTTCATTAGAATCCAAAGAGTTCATAACTTACTATGGTGATTTGTATGAAGAGAGTCGATAATGTTGGTGGGGTACGAAAGTGGGGTTGGCCGGATACTTTTTTCCTAGTACTGTAGCATGTCTCACCAAGTATCATTGACCAGCCGTTGCAGACGTAACCAGACATCTCCTCAAATAGTCCGTCAAGGTCTTTGTTGCCTTGCAGTGGCTTCCACCGAGCCATAGCAGTAGTGCCCATAAATTGAGAGCGAAGAAAACGACATCTTACACTTTTAATTCCTTCCATACCCACCTCACTTTTCATACGAGAACCCTGTGTCTATCCCGACTTGTGTTGCTCTGATGGATTTGCTAGCGAGTTCAGATTCCGCAGAGACTCCCACAGCCGCTCAGATCTTTTCCTCAGCTTATACATCCTCCAATGTGTGGATTACAAGTATGTATATACCATCAACATCGACCTTACCATTCAACCCTACGCCCACTTCTTGGATCCCTTTGTCTTTCTGGGCCACTTCATCTTCCACTCTGCGCGTCAGCAGTTCTGCTGAACTCATCAATATACCTTCGATGACTGTGACAACCACTTTGGCTGTGACAACCACCTGGGCTGGGACAAACACCTGGGCTGGGACAAACACCTGGGCTGGGGCAAACACTTGGGCTGGGACAAACACTTGGGCTGGGATAAACACTTGGGCTGGGACAACCAATACTGCTGCCACCTCTACCGTGACTGTGTCACCCAGCTCTTCTCCGATATCTTCCACGACTGCAACACCCTCAGCATCACCATCTCCAAAGATTACTGATAGAAAAGAATTCCAAATTGGCCTCCCAGTCGCATTGGTCGCATTAGTCGCCTTCTTCGTATTGGGTTTCCTCTGGCGCCGTCGCAGAAAAGGCCCAAAATCCGGCTATCAAACCGGAGAGACCAGGGATACAGAAAACGGCGATGTTCAATCCCCGTTCATGGCCCATTACAACCCGACCGAGCCTCCAGTACCACACCCTTACGCCCAACGCTTCCCAGTAAACACACCGCCTAACGATGAGAGAGGCTCTGCATACAGTCGCTCACGCTAAACCTTCGCCCTCGCAACAGACCAAGATCTCGAAAACCACCGTTCTCAATCCAACCTGCAGCACGCGCCGGCTTTCAATTCGTATACAGCTCCCCGGCCGGGTCCAGAAGCAGGCCCTGCGTATGGCGGACACCAGGAGTACCAGCAAAGCATGCCCGTTTACGTCGAGCCATGAAACAGGCTCTTTGCGGCGGAAACCCATGCCCGAGCTCCTCAGTCCGAGGTTTATTGCCGTAGTAGCGCTGTTGGAGAAGGACGTGCTGGCGAAAGATAACTCTATTATCCGCAACTTTCTGGACCCTAAACCTACGCATCTATATGCAATCTCCCTTTTTAGGAAGAAATGACAGCGGCCTTTTAAGGGCAAATACCGCGGAGTGGTGAGGCGGTTTTTCTGTTATCGTGAGCATTGAAGGAAGAACATGGGCAGTTCTGGAAAGCGAGCATTTCTTTTTCGCGAACGTCAATACTTTTATTTCCGTTTATCATTCTTGAAGAGTCTTTTTGCACGTCACATACACATGGCTTGTTGCGCCTTTTTCTGTTTCAATAAACTCGATGGCACATCCCATGCGCGAAATTTTTGACATTTTTTGGCTAAAAAGTATTAGAGAAATGACACGACTGATCGAAGACCTCGCTAACGCCAGTGAACGCCTAGTATTGATCCTCCTCTTTCGAGGATGACGATAGTTCACTCCTTAGAGGGCCGGGCCTTGACAGTTCTTACTAATAGTTATCAAACTCGAATCAACTAGAAGGAGGCTCACCCACATCGCAAGTTGTCACATCAACCCCATCATCTAGCAGATGACGGCATGATTGCCTTTTACGAAAGCAGCACAAGCCGCATAAAATCCAGAGATGCCTGTTGAATTTTCATGCTGGCTTTCTAAAATGCTGACTGACATAGATACTTACACAACGCAACCCAACACACGCCTGCAGGCGACAAGTTACGACGGATCTAAATCTCAAGCTCAACCCTCAACGTAACCGCGGGGCATAAGCTCAATGAATCCTCTCCACAGTGCTGATCTGCCTGTGCATTCCGTACCAGATGTCCAACAGGCCATTGGCGTCCTCCAAGAACTCTCGGTAGATGTCGCCGGGAAAGATGGCGGCTGTGCGCTGCCGGAGCATGTAGACTTCACACAGGAGAAGGCAGTGATTTTGGTAAGAGAGCATCCTCTTCTCAGTCGATAAGGCGTTGGCGAGGACGCGGTGGACGTACCCTGACGGGATCAGTCTGAAGAAGTAGCAGCAAGATATTCTATCATATTCTCGTAGTTCCAGCTCAAACTTTCCGTGGCCGCCATCAGCTTGAGGTATCAAAATGACCCAAAAGCTTGTGTTCCCAAAGTTGAGTAAGAAAAGTTAGTATAAAGTTGGTGGCAACTCACTGCCAGGAGATGTCTCGAATTTTGCTGTCTCTTGCTGTTCTCTCGACGCAGATATGCATCCACCGCCGCAGTCGTCAACGTATATATACTGATCATGCCGTTTTGCTCGTGCTGCAGAGGGGAGAGAGAGAGAGAGAGAGAGTAAAAAAAAGTCGATTTATCAACGACCGCGTCATGTCGCGACCATGTGGCTTCGGGCTCGGTGGTGCGGGCGTCGTCTCATCGACCGGATGAACCAAGGCCAACTCGTAGTCTGCCCTGCACAGCTACACAGTTGTCCTTGTGGTTGTGATGCGGCATTCGTCCTTTGGCCAGAAGTAAGTAAGGCCATTCGCCAACTGCAGCTAAACACGGGTAAGTGCCTGTGTCGGTCAAGAAGGTCGAGGAAAAGGAGTGAGGTGTAAAGAGTCCATCGAGACGGCAGGCAGAGATTATTTTTATACTGTCGCTGATGTCTTCACGTCTACATCATCTTAAAGCGACATTTCAATACAACGATGAGGGGACACAATTTCGGGAACAGTGAGGAAGAGGGGGCTTCAGTATAGATAATGAAGACAATAATAATAACATGCAGACTAATGACGATGACGACGAGCATGAGGGTGAATAGAGGAATATCGGATAGATGGGAATTAGTTTATTGGCAACAGCGCCGTCCTGAGGATCCGCCTGGTGCTCAGGCATGTGGCGCGTGTCTTGCGCTTGGTCAGGATAACTGCCATGACTTTTCACTATCTTTCTTCTATATGCAGAATGGCTTGTCCTTGTCGTCACTATGATCAAGAAGCCGTGCATCCTTTTGACATATTATCTACATAATACAAATCCATGGTCGACCCTCAAGAGCTGTTTCAATTTGGTAACGCTGCGGCTGCAATTCTCGATATAACGCCAAGGATTTGCAAGATTTTCGTAATGCACAGTGAGAAGGCCCTCTGAAAACTATGCCTAAATCACCATCAATGTGTGCTTAGCTTCGGCCTAACCATGATGTGATCTAGTTTACATAGAATTATACAATTAAACATCTGAAATATGACAAGAATTGTATCATTTCAGACATCATTTTGAGAAAATAACGCTCAAATTATAGCTAAATTATAGAAAAACGGGCTAATGAGCCCTCTCAATGTCCAACAGGACTTGAAGTTTAGTTAGCTTTCTAGCATTACTGTGCGTTGCATAAGAGTTGCGAATT